CTGACTCCAACAGTCTTCTGTGCAGCCTTCACCACTCTCTGCAAAGCTTTTCTTTCTGCAGCTGTGCAGCCTCCATGCCACACGTTGATGCTGGAGCACAGGATGCTCTCCACTGCACACCTGTAGAAGGAGGTGAGGACTGAGCTTCCCAGACCAGCTCGCCTCAGCCGTCTGAGGAAGTAGAGTCTCTGATGAGCTTTCTTGATCAGGCTGGTGGTGTTGGTGCTCCAGCTGAGGTTGTCATTCATGTGTACACCCAAGTACTTGTAGCTGGAGACCACTTCCACCGCAGATCCTCTTATGTTCAGGGGGGTGTAGGTGTTTTTGTTCCTTCTGAAGTCCACAATCATCTCCTTTGTCTTCTTCACATTGATGTGAAGGTTATTCTCTCTGCACCAGCTCTCCAGGTGTTCCACCTCTTGCCTGTAGCTGGACTCATCATTGTTTGTGATGCATCCCACCACCGCTGTATCATCTGCAAACTTTACAATGTGACAGCCTGGATGGGTAGCTGCACAATCATATGTGAGCAGAGTAAACAGAAGGGGGCTCAACACACATCCCTGAGGAGAGCCAGTGCTGAGGGTTATGGTGGAGGAGGAGAGGTTGTGGATCCTCACTAACTGTGGTCTGTTTGTTAAAAAGTCTAGTACCCAGTTGCAGATGGAGGGGCTTAGTCCTAGTGTGGATAGTTTGTCCATCAGGGTTTGGGGGATCATGGTGTTGAAGGCGGATGTGAAGTCCACAAAGAGCATACGGACGTAAGAGTTTTTCTGCTCCAGGTGGTTGAGTGCAGTGTGGACCACAGAGGAGATTGCATCCTCTGTTGATCGGTTCTCACGGTATGCATACTGATGAGGGTCCTCGTTGATGTTGATGGTTGTTTTGATGTGAGTCATGACCAGTTTTTCGAAGCATTTAGCGACTATCGGGGTGAGGGCCACTGGACGATAGTCATTCAGACCAGTCACTGTAGAGCTTTTTGGGACTGGGATGATGGTGGCAGTCTTCAGGCAGGTGGGAACTGTCTCCAGGGTAAGTGAGGTGTTAAAGATGTCTGCCAGCACCTCACAGAGCTGATCAGCACATTCCTTCAACACTTTTCCGGGGATGTTGTCTGGGCCAGTTGCTTTGTGCGGATTAATCCTCCTGAAGGTACTCCTTACTTCTGCTGAGGTCACGCTGAGATGCTCTTCATCCGGTGGCGAGGTGAGTCTGGTGCTGGGTGGTCTGTTGGGGTCTTCAAAGCGTGCATAGAACTTGTTGAGGGCATCAGGCAGAGATGGGTCTTTGTTCACTCCTTCCTTTATAATCTGTTATGCACTTAATGCCCCTCCACATGCTCCGAGGGTCTTGTGAGATGAATTGACCCCTCGATCCTCTGTGCATATGTGGCCTTGGCCTTCTTAATACCAGCAACCAGCTCTTTTCTTGTCCTACTCAGCTCCTCTGAGTTTCCAGACCTGAAGGCAGTGTTCCTAATTTAAATGTGATATATGTATGAAAGCTGATTTCTGAAGAGAAACGGGATTTGTATTTTTGCACCAAAACATTTAGTTGGAGCTAAATGCGTGTGTTTTATGACTGTATGTGCCTTTGAGCCATAGAATATTAGCACTAACTGTAAATAACGACACTTAGTTTTGGTGGACAAGCTCTGAAGTGACGTGCAGACAGAGTTTCACTTCTGACCTTTAGTTCTTTGCTTCAGTGCGGTCTTATTTAAAGTCAGAAACAACACAGACAACAGTGTTTTTTAATGTGTGTACATTTTAAAATGGCTTCTACATTTGTCTGTGCTTGTTTGACACACAAACATTAAAGAGAAGATATGAAATGATGCTCTTTGGTGCGTTACGACTTCAGGAAGCAGATGTTTAATTTGTCACTCAGGAGTTTGTGACTGAGCTACTCAGACAAATCTTTAGTCTATGTTTTAACAAATCCAGTGCTGCCTTATGATTAATAACTTATTAAATCTGTGTATGTATCCATCTGCTTAACTACCTGTATGACTGTGTCTGTAGTCATGCAAGTGTAACCCGCTCAGGCACTGTGTCAGCACAGTGCGTGTCACAATTGCTTAAATTAAATTACAGTCACATGGTCAGAGAGATGAAGAGGGAGGAATGAAGGACTTGTACCTCTCTATCTGCCTCTGCAGTGGCGTCCAGCAGTTTCTCCAGCTCGTCATCCATGGAGCTCTCCAGCTGCTGCCTCATAATTTCCTGGAACTGAGCCATCCCTTTGTTGGCCACTCCTTTACTCAGACCTGAGTGAACAAGAGTGATAACAATGTTAGAGATGAATGCATTCTGTCATATGGTGGATTCTCTAAATTATTCTTCCATCTTCACTCCTTTTAAAAACAACAACAAAAAAAACATTTTAGTTTAATCTCCACTGAATAAAGCTGTCAGTTTTTTTTTTAACATGCTGCATTCCTGAAACTGGGTCAGTTTAGGTTAAAGCAAATGTTAAAAATACAATTGTTAGTTGAACATTTAAATGCAATGATAAATTTGATATAATTTGCTAATGCTAAGCAACATTTTTTATTATTTTTAGAAGAAATAAAAAAGGCACAAAATGTGACAACTCTAAACTTTAAAACGAGATCATATGACACTTGAAGAAGAATAGCCTTAGACTTATTCCAAAAACAAAAGGTCTTACAGTTACCTGCATGTTCAGTTTTGCTCTAATGTGCTTCCTTTTGGTAACAGACAGCACAAATGTCTGCAGATACTTGAACAAAACGTTTGGGTGTCCTTAACACTTCCATTTAGATTAAACTCTTGGACATTCTGAGAATCCACAGCATCTTTATAGCTGATTTATGGGAAAAGCAAGCTGAATGTATGCTTTAGTTTTTCTTGTTAGTTCTTTTGTTTTGTTGGTGAGTCTGATCAGTTCTTCTCATCCTGAACATTTCATTGCACTGTTGACCTTGTGCTAACCTGCATATGACAAACAACAGAACATGAATGCTTTAGGTTTGTTAATTACCTTGTTAGACATAATAGGGATAACATTCTTTTTTTTTTCTCATGTTTGTTTAGAGTACTTTAGATGTCAGCATGATGGCACCACATACATTTATCATAAAAATATGTCAGAGGTTTGAATGAGAAAAGTATGACTGTTTCGGAAACGATAACTAATTTTAGGGCAACACTTTGACACAATAATCAGCAATATTGTCTCCCAACAATATTGCCTTCCTGTGTGAATCCTCTGGATACTCCAGAGTTTCCTCATTTCATTCCAAGTTGACTTTAAGAAGGATTTAATTTAATTGACTTGAACATGTGATAAAGGAAGCTGTATATCCTTAAATATAAGCTTCATCTGTTATTTTCTTAAACAATGTTAAGGAAAATGAATAAGTATGAACATCTTTGTGCTGATTGATTAATTTCAATTTCAAGAACAGATCAAATATCTAATCCATCTCATTTGTATCATCACTGGTCAGGCGTCCAAATGAAGTCATGACACCAGATCCCATGAGTTTAAAAGAGCAACTGGACTTCTTTTCTTATTGGATGCAGCCGTTTTGCTCTGTTTTATGCTAGATTGATCTCATTCCCCATCCTCCTGAGGGTTTAGGGGTTTTGTCAGCCTGGTCCTCATGAGAAGAGTTATGGTCACATGGATGAAGGTGTGAACTTGTGTCAAACTGACTGGGAATCAGATCCAAAGGGGAATTGTAATTTCTGGAAAGCTGAAACCTGAGACCTCCTTCCCCGTTTAAAGTTGGTTTTCTTGCTTGATGCTTGAGGCTTCGTTTACACCTTCTTAAGCTTTCTCTGCCCAAGACATGAATATTACTGTCCTCAAAGGAGGGTCTTTTACCTTTGAGATGGAGGTGGACAGCTGAGCCATTGCCTGAAGCGCCGATTCATCAGTACTGGGTCAGGAATCTGTAGAGAGGTTGTTTGGAGGTCTGAACGTTCCCCGCTGCACTGAACTGCATAAACCACACTACTCCGTTTGTGTTTGGGGGTTTATCTTTTGAGAGAAACAGCTTCTGTCTGGTTTGAAAGGCACCGGGATGTTGTGACTGTAGAAAATCCTTCAGAGTGTCTCAGATACACATGTGACTTATTAAATGGCATTATACAATATTTGCATTTGTTCGTTTTTTTAAATCAAACGATAAATATTTCCAGGGCAGGGGTGTCCAATCCTGGTCCTTGAGGGCCACTAACCTGAATGGTTTAGGCGTTACCCTGCTCTTCAGCAGGTCTTCAAGTTATGCAGAATCACTCACTCAGGGAAGACAAGTGTCAAATCACAGAAACATCTAAAACATGCAGGATAGTTGTCCCCGAGAACCAGAATTGCCCACCCCTGCTTTAGGGTATCTCAAAAGAAAAATTAAAAGAACTTTTTAAATGAAACAACCACTCCACAGGCGCATGACAAAACAGGTGAAGCAGTCTTTCAGGCCAAGACTCAGCTGTTCACCTACATTTAAAAAACAAAGGAGACACTGAGGACAGAGATGATAGCTGGTGCAACAAAGTCCATGCTCAATAATCCAGTTATACAATCCAACATTTTTCAGTCAGGTCATCTGGACAAACCGGTTTGTTCCACTTTGGAGTAAGCTGTTGGGGGAAGAATCAGTTTTGTTGTGCGTTTCCTTGACTGATGAAGCCTTCTGGATCGAAGGCGAAATGTTTCAGCACAAAAAAAAAAAAACTGTCCAGATCAGGGGTCCCCAACCACCGGGCCGCAGACCGGTACCGGGCCGTGGGTCAATTTATACCAGGCCGCACAGGGGAAAAAAAAAAAAAAAAAAAACTTATTTTGATAAATCACCAGATTCTGTCCACCACATCTGTCAATGACTCACTCTTGACGCAGGTCAACATACACAAGTGGTAAAATTCAGTTTCTGTTAGACGCGTGCACAGATTGGTTCTACAGTGCCCGTTCAAGTGGAATAATTTAGCTGCGTGGTCTGGAGCAGACCGGATAGGAGAAGGCGTGCCACCGTGTCTGCGCATTTGAAGGATCACTGCATATTTTTCAACCTGCCTGACAAGGAGTGACTGTAAAACTATTAACTAAATAAAACTATAATTTTAAACAGAGATTCCCAATATCACATCAGAGCTGGTTTTGTCTTGAACTTTTTTGAATTCACATCAGAGCTATTTCTTTGCATTTCTGCTTCTGCTCTTAAAAGAATCCCCCCCCCCCTGAAGTTCAAAGTCATGGGCAATTTTATTAAAAAACACAAATATAATTAAAGTTTTGCACTATGCATAAGTTCCTGTGCTTTTGTGTGCAATCTGATGTGTGAATCACTGCTGAGCATGGAGGAGGATGACGAGGCTCAGCTGACCCCGGTGTGTGAATACAAATTAAATGAGAAATGATCCTGCACTTAATACACTTATAAATCACACAAAGTGATTAAAAGTACATTTGAAATACAGGTGTTGGTAATAAAATTAGATTATTGTGAAAAAGTTGATCTATTTCAGTAATTCCATTCAAAAAGTTAAACTTGTATAGGCCTATTCATTCGTTACACACAGACTGATATATTTCAAATGTTTGTTTCTTTTAATGTTGATGTTTATAACTGACACTTAAGCAAATTCAATTTGTCCTGAAGAGCTGCAGCGGTTTTGCAGTCAAATTCTCTGTGGTAGGACTCTCAGACTGCCCACCCCCGGTCCGTGAAAATATAGTCCGACATTCAAACGGTCCGTGGCGCAATAAAGGTTGGGGACCACTGGTCCAGATGATCGGACTGAAAAATGTTGGATAGCTGGTGCACTTTCACAAAACACTTCTGCTTACTGGCCGCAAGGACCAGCTTGTCTTTAAGCAACCCCTGATCTTTCATAAATCACCAATGAAGCCTGCCATGTTTTGCCTAAATGAGCTTTAAGAAAAGAAGCTAGCTTTACAGAACCAAAGAGTCTCTTTTTTTAGTTAAAAAACTTTAAACAGGGAAGTGGTTTTATGTTTCCAGTATTTATAGATCTGCTTTGGATCAGATTCTCAGGCAGTTTCAATTTCCATGTGGCCAAAACTCTTCTCATGAGGAGCAGGCTGACAAAGAGCCTAACAACCTTAAGAGAGGGGGGCGGGGGTCTGTATGTGAATTCAGCTTAGATTAAACAGAGCATCTCAGGAAGATTTGCAGTCTTGCACATTCCAGTTTCAGCAGAGAAAGCATATCCGATGAGATGGGGAACATCTTTAAAAGACAATAAAAATGTCTAGTTACTTTTTAAAACAATCTTCTACACTGTCTGGCCAAAAAAAAGTCACCACCTGGATTTAACTAAGCAAACAGGTATGAGCCTCCTATTCGATAATTACTGCATGGGAGATTATCTTTCAGCTTGTAACAAGTTATTTAACCCCAATTGGTGCAATGAGTTGCTTCTCATTTCTTAAACAACCATGTGTAAAGACACATTGCGTGGTCATGAAAAAGATGTCGGTTTGAAAAGGGTCAAATCATTGGCATCAAGCAGAGAAAACAACTAAGGAGATGTAACTCATTATTAAAAACTGGAAGGATAGTGAGGACCCCTCGTCTTCAAGGAAGAAATGTGGCTGGAAAAAAAAATCCTGAATGATCGCGATCGGCGATCGCTTAAACGTTTGAAGAAATCAACTGGAAGAGAAACAACAGCAGCACTCAGGGATATGGTTTAATAGTGAAAGTAAGAGCATTTCCACACGCATAATGTGAAGAACTCAAGGGACTGGGACTGAACAGCTGTGCAGCCTTAAGAAAACCACTAATCAATGAGGCAAACTGGAGAAAACGTTTCAGTTTGCTAGGGAGCATAAAGATCGGACTCTGGAGCAATGGAAGAAGGTCATGTGGTCTGTTGAGTCCAGATTTGTCCTGTTCCAGAGTGATGGATATATATATGTATATATATACATACATATATACATACATATATATACATACATATATACATACATATATACACATATATACATATACATATATACATATATACATACATATATACATATATACATATATACATACATATATACATATATACATATATACATACATATATACATATATACATATATACATACATATATATATATATATATATACATATACACATATATACATATATATATATACACATATATACATATACACATATATACATATACACATATATACATATACACATATATACACATATATACATATACACATATATACATATATATATATACACATATATACATATACACATATATACATATATATATACATATACACATATATACATATACACATATATACATACATATATACATACATATATACATACATATATATACACATACATATATATACATACATATATACATACACATACATATATATACATACATATATACATACATATATATACACATACATATATATACACATACATATATATACATACATATATATACATACATATATATACATACATATATATACATACATATATATACATACATATATATACATACATATATACATACATACATATATACATACATATATACATACATATATATATACATACATATATACATACATACATATATACATACATATATATATACATACATATATACATACATATATATATACATACATATATACATATACATATATATATACATACATATATACATATACATATATACATACATATATATATACATATACATA